CTGCCTGGTGTCGGGGGGGCATGTGCCCCCCCTGACTCAAGAGGGACCAGACACCCATGGACAGGGGGCAGAAAGGCAATCAGGACTTGTAGTAGAGATGATATCTTTCATTAAACCAACAAGATTTTTGCAAAACAAAATTTCTTTAATTGCAAGCTTTTGTGCACAAACACCCTTCATCAGGCACCAGAGAAAAGATTGTAAAAGTTTTCCTGGGTAGAAATGAAAGTTCATATTTCATAGGATTTCAGAGGAGTCAATAGATGGAAAACTCCTCTGGGCAGTCAGTTCATAGCTGGTTTGAAGCCTCTCACCTCCTGTGAGGATCTGTGATGATGCAAATTACCTTGAAACAAAGGCAGGAGCAGGATCTCAGGTTTCAGGTGGTCACAGTTGCTTCCTGCTTGGGAAAATATGAAGCTTGAAAGCACCTTCCTCGTGGATCTATTATCCTGGCCGAGTTGCAAAGAATGTGAAAGGGGACCAGGTATGCAGTCTACACACAGAGGAGGGGCCTAGAAAGTCAGATCTTTCCTGTGTCGAGGAACAAGAGAACTCTGTTCTCAGGAATAAGCACACACTTGGTTCTCTTCACCTCATCCCAATAAAAACAAAAATAAAAACACAGTATATCTAACTCCATTGATTCCATTTTGTAACCACCCCATCCAATTATTTGGTAGAAGGGATCGAGATGACTGCATGTCCCATTGAAGCCCAAACTTGAAGTTGAAAAAAGCAGCCATGACACTTGAAGACAGGGTCTGAATAACCACAGAAGAGAATCAAAAGGAAGGGATGGAATGGAATGGCTGAGCTGGACTGCTAGGGGTAGAGGAAGGGAATTTAAGAAAATGGCACTTCTATGTCCCCTGGTTGATTCTCACACTTCTAAATATACATAAATCCAGTGCTGATAAGGAGTGAATGATATAGATATAAGATGGAGCCATGGAATGGATGGAGGGGAGCAGGCAGAAAGAGACACAAAGAACAGGCAGCAAAAATCCTGGGATATGAAATAACTCATTTAGAGCTCACTTTTTTTTATAAATTACTTTATTTTCAGTAAAATACAAAAATTATATATACAATTTATGTAAAACCGCATTTGACCAAAGGTACTGGAGGTTTCTGCAGTGCAAATGCAAGCGTTTAAAGCAGCAGGGAGTACATCAAGACATGCCTCCCCCCAACCCCAGTGTTTTAGATGGATCTTCGGCATACACAGAGCAGCACTGAAGGTGAGAGTAGGTGAAGACAAGAGAGAAAATGGGGCAAGGAATTGCAGCTTCCAAAGTACAAAGTATCTGAAGGCACCTGAGAAGAGGTATACACTTACCTCCTGCTTTACCACTGCCTGTTCTAATAGTAACAATAGACCCATGTGCCTGTTCACATGGGGGCTGAAGCCAAGCTACCCAAAGTTGTATTTAGAGTTTCAGTGTACTATTTCCCTGACTGAGGTGTACAGGAGCTTTTATGGAGGGACAAAAAAAAATTCCCGTGCTTTTTGTTCCAACTTCACAGACAGTTCTTAAGATGGGTTCCTAACACACGGGCATGCTCGTTTAAAAAAAAATCCGTCCCCAAGGCACTACGGGAAACCCAGTGAGGGCCCTCCCAAAAGTAACTACTTTAAACACAGTTTTGACTAGCATGGCTTCAACACCAATGTCTGTTGGGTCACTGCATACAATCCCTTTAAAAAATACCTCAATAACTGTAGAGAAAAAGAAAGCGTCAATAATAGAAGACACAAAAGGTCATGTGCCCGCAGAACAGGCATCTCAGAAAACACAACAAATCAGTTCATGTAACTCAGTGAAGAGATCAAAGGGTCCCAGGCACTGACTTAGCTCTCATCTGCTGGGCTTAGACATCAGCTTCCCAACTGGAATAGACGAAAGAGCCCATTTGGAGAGGTGAGCAAAAGTGTTGTAGCATGGCCTGCCAGGCATAAGTAAATTTGTCTTAGACTGGAAGGCAGGGTACTACCTTCAAGTCACCACAAGCCAATTTCTCCCATATAGTCCTAGTGACAAAGTTTACTGAGACAGGAGCGTTGTGAACTGGTTTCTTAGCTTTTCTGGATAGGTACTGGCAGTGCAGAGTAGTCAGGGGGTAATATTAACAGAGTACTCTTGACTACTGTAGCCCAGATCTGTCTCAACAACAAGCAGAAAGTCAATGAAGGCACAAAAGAAGCACATGACACAAGCTCTCCTAAGTGGAGCACTCAGGGAAGAGGCTGCTTTGAAGGCAATGGCACCACAGCCAATAAAGCTTGGAGCATCTGAGAGAGATGCATTTTCTAGAGCTGGAGCCATCAACGACAATTCATCATTTGCAGTTAAAATACAGGGATTACATGGGACTATGATTGAAGGTATTTTTTTCTTTCTGGCAATATCAGAAAATGTCTACATATAGTTTCATATCTCTACAGAAGAGCAAGATGACATCCCCCAATGCAACACATGTAGATGAGGCAATCCATGGAGAATGGTACAATGGCGGGAGTCTGGCTGCCATGAGTGCCCAAGGGGGCTAGTTAGCTAGCAACAACTTTTACACAGATCACAATATGCAAAGCACAGGACACCCACGCTTGGATCAAGGGAGGCGTATATGGGCAATTTACCTGGCAGCTGCACAACAGGCATGAAATAAACTGGATACCTTTTTAAACACAGCAGAGGTGTAGCCCATGGAGCCCATGGACTATGCCATGATCTGCTTTAGTTTGACCCAAGGCCATCAGGACTAAGGAAGAGAGCATTCTGCACTGTGATCTGTAGTCTCCACTGCCTGTAATCCAAGATGAAAAGTAAGGGTAGCAGCATTTTGGAGTCCTAGGAGCAAGACTTTGGTCACCTCTGGTGCAAAGTTCCTATTTACTTGTGCTTGGGAAACATTTGCAACCTCCTTTTTTGGCAAATTAGCATCTTCCTACATCCAGATTCAAATTATTATCTAAAACATTCTCATTAGGTCATGATTGCAGATATCACACAGAACTGGCATTGGCCAAGCAGGCTGCTACAAGAGAAGCTCTTGCATGCTGAGATAAAGGTCACATGAGGCAAAGTAAATGATTCTGGCAGCAGTTCATTCCTACCCAATGCACCGAGCTTTATTCATGAAGAAGTTTTAGAAAGTGGTTTTGACTGACCAAGTTTTAGAATCAAGTACATAAGCTCAGCAGAATGCTGCTTTTCAAGAATAGCATTGTAAACAAATGGCATGCACCCTTAGTCAGTTTTTTTAATATCCAATCATCTACTTGATCCCATTTGTAAAGTTCCCAGGGAAAAGAGAAACCATGATGGTCATAATATAAAATAGCACCCACTTGGAAGTGACAGTTGCGGTTTTTGATACTTATATCTTTATTTGGTAGAATGGTTGTTGCAGGGCAATGCACAGCAGGAACAATTAAGAGGAACTGGGGCCTATAAAGTAATCATCCTGCAGAGTAAGAAGAGGCTATTGCAGCATGTGGCTCTCTCTTGGGTTTGATCTTTGGAGAGGAGCATCAAGCCTGGACTCTCTCCTCTCTCTTTGAAATTTGCCCTGGACAGAGTGTTATTCTGCAGGGTGAGAGCCCATGTTGTATCTGTCTGAAATAATTGTACCATGGACACACAGTGAAATGGACAGCATGAGCACCAGGGGCACTGCCAGAGATCCAAGGCATATGGGCACTAGCACACTATTAATCTGATCCCTGCTGCAGGGAGTTCCAAGTCACAGTGATGTTCAGCAGCTGAGGAGCATGACCCGAGTCCTAAGCCTGCTCTTAGACAGCATTTACCACTAGGTTTCTCAATGTAGCATTAATACTAGTAACATAAAGATATCGCATGTTTTGTTGCCTGCCCCACTGCTTCTCCCAATGCACAGGCAGAGCTCTCCCTCCCAAAAGGGCCATCATTCCCATCAGTTGTTGTAAAGCTCCCAAATCTATTGCTTGCCTCCTACAAATCCCCACAGAACAATATCTTCCAGTTCCCTTCTGTCCCCCAGGCTATTTCTCATGATTCAAACCAGAACTCAGCTACAAGGTGCAGAAATGGGAGCGAGTTCCATGCCCAAGTCCACTGCCTCCCTCATTCACAGGCCAACTTGCTATCAAAGCTGGAGAGTCCGATGGCAAAGGCTTGGAGGGCACATAGTGGGTAATTATAGTCCAGAGTGAACACGTCTTCTGCTACACGACCAAACTGCATCACAATGTATTCAGCTAAAGAAACCAAGAGAGATTTTATAGGTCAACAATTTCATAAGGAGAGGGAGAGGTAAGAGAAGAAACAGTGAGTGAAGCAGTTCCATGGATGCTTGGCTGGAATGACAATCCCCCTCCCTTCTTTACCAAAGTGGGCACAGAATTTGCTTACAACAATGGTCCTGCTGCTTTCCTTTACAGAGCTGCTCCAAACCTATGCTGGGCTGGTTTGGCTATCCCACATTATTCCCCCGTCTTTTTTTCAGCATTTGTCCCTTTCCAGGGCAGTAATTTGTCCTCAATCCGAATTGAAGGATAGGTCCCATATTATGCACTGCCCAACTGGAAGTTACTGATAGCCTGTGAGCTGTACCCTTCATGCTGTCCTCAGCTATCCCACATTTTACTTGTGGGAGTGGTGCCCTCTCATCTAGTTAGCTGCAAAAAGGCAATCCTGTTTTCTTCACCAGAGTGACAACCCCTGCCTCTCCCCATCCACCTTCGCCTCCCCTTGAGCTCTTACGGTCATTCTCATGGACAATCTGGAAGTTCTTCACTGAAGCCTGAGTGACTCTCCCATGGAAGTTCAAGACATAGGACTGAGTGTCATCATTCCAGACTGGGGCTTTGTTGTGCAGCTCAATTAGGTTCTCTACGTTTTTATTTTGCCATTTTGCCAGCAAACTCTCATGTTCCTGCA